GACTCACCATTTCCAGGATGGGGGTCAGCATGGATGAAACCCGTGTAAAATATCTGCTCAGCAAATGCTCGGATCAGCTTGTCTGCTGTCTGTAAATGAACCCAGGTGTGTCAGACTTCTACATATGACAACCTCCCAAATCTCAAGGGCACAACTTACATCTTTTAAGCTCAGTCCTTGTTTTTTTATTTCTTCCACGTCGTTGACCTTACAACCGTTGCAAAACTCTGCCGTCAAAACCCTCTTGAAATGAAAATGAGGATGGAAGGGAGCTTTTTAATAAGTGTCATGATCTTCAGAGTGCTTAAACTCACCTTGCTGGTTTGCTCCCAGAACACTTTGGGCACCACAATAAACTTGAAGTGTTTCAGATCGTCGGCGCACCTCTCAGAGTTCCTGGCCTCGTTCTCAAAGTCCAGCTCTTGAGCCAGAGTCCCTTTCAGGTCCTAAATGGACATCAGGCAAATGATTTTGTGCATTCTTTTCAGTGTGCATACTGTATGATGGAAAATGGACTTTATTTACATGTGGCGGGGGCTCTGGACTGCCCGCCCACCTAATAATTGCAAAATTAAACAACCGAACATTTTTCATGGGCTGGCTATTTGTGAAAACGTGCATCGGAGTCGGCTACTCAGAATTCTGACTAGTCGCTGCGCCGTCAGTCGTATCCGACGTTGACTCTGCCGAAGAGCTTTCTGACCTGGAGGACCCATCGGAATCCAAAGCTGGGGTGCATAAATTTGACCATGTCCAGCAGGATCTCCAACGTCCTGATGTCTCCGTCAAAGCGGTCCCTGAGGTCGATGTATTGCACCTGATATGGTGGAATTACCGTATGTCGATGGGAGTCGTCTCTTCCGGAAATAGCTGGGACGTCATTCGTCGCCACTCACCTTTACAGCGACGGAGGTTCCGTCTAACAGCTCCGCCTTGTGCACCTGAGCCAAGCTGGCCGCGGCTATGGGCTCATAGTCAAAGGTTTTAAACATCTCCTGCGGGCTTTTGTTGAAGTCTTCTTGGAAAAGAGCATCCACCTGTTCCAAAAAGAAGCCTGTGAAATGTCAACGTACTGTTTGTCTTCCTTTTTTGCTTTGCTCGCTGTCCTCACCTCTTTGTATCTTCTGTTCAAGGCGCGGTCCTCCAGCACCTGCAGGGTGCGAATGTATTCGGGCGGCAGGAGGTGGTTGAAGGAGCACAGGCCTTGGCCCAGCTTTATGTATATGCCGCCGTTCCGGACAGCGCCCTCCACCATGCTCTCCGCCGCTCTTTGGTGGCAAGCTGACATCGCCGAAGCGTAGGATGGGCTGCTCTAGCAAGTAAGACGTCACGTTCAAAGGAGATGACTTGACATTGTGCTTAAGTGTATCTTGTGGCTAGATATTGTTACTTAGCTTGCAATCTACTAATGCGTAATATTTTCAGACCAGAGCTTTTTATTTATTTATTTTTTTAATAAATAAATGAGATGAAGCTTACCTCATCCACACCCCGAAGAGCCATATTGGTGGTCCACCAGTAGTCCACCGATATCACAAGTCCCACAGAGAGAGACCTAAAACATGAAAAGTCAAAATATATTTTGTGAACGCTCTAAAAAGTGGAAGCCCTGAACACACCAGTATCCACATCATCCAATTATTTAAGATTTTTTGAAGCTATTGTTAAATGTACCTAATATGTAATAGATTAGTAACATTATTTGAACATTTACAATCAATCGACTAACCAATTTAGTCAAAAAATTAATGGGGGGGGGTGGATCAATACCATTTTTTTTTTTGTAATTAAATGTTGGGGGGCACAGAAAATTAAATCACTGAATATTAGCGGACACTTTTGAAAGTAAACGCTTGGTGTAACGGATTTAAAAATGAGTGGGTCATATGGGGCACGGCCGTATTCCATCATTTGCCCAACCCTACTCCGAAGTACATGAAGGGCAAATGAATATACGGGTGTGAAGATGAATTCGGGGGGGGGAGAACTAAGGCTTTCGGGTCGAGCGGCCGACTAGCCTGACTTGGTATGGGGAATGTGGTGAGCAGGGTAGGGCACATGCTGGTCCGTTCAGTGTGTTGCACGTGCAGCCGCGGACATCAAGTATGAACTCAGTGGACACTTCATTAGGTCCACCTAAGGTTTGATGATATAAACCAAGCAAGGTTCAATTGATGCCTCTTTGACAGTCTTCGTAAAGAAAGTTTGTTTGGCACCGGTCACTAGTGGGCCTAACGTTGTGGCCATCGAGTGTTTCTATACAAAGACTGTCCCACACCTGCAGAACCGAGCGAATCCCTCAGTCACTATCCTCATCTTCCGCCGCTCTCTCTGGTCCGACACGGCATACCGCATTCCCGCCGCCAGCGGCACGCCCACAGCGACGGTGGCGAGCGTCTTCCATAATAAACCCGTGCGCCTTCCTTCCCTAGGAGGAAAAAGAAGAAGAGGAGGTGGAATTATCAATTGATTTAGTCATTTTGATGGTCAAATTGTTGCTCATATTTAGCACCTGAGTGTACTGAAGCTTCTGGAGCACTGTATCGACGAGGCAGGATTTCTTTGGAGAAAAGCGGCATGCTGCAGACATAGCCTGCGCTACAGGAGAATAAGAAAGCACAAAAAACAAATAACACGTGACCGGGAAACCGAGCTAAAAGCGCCAGTGAACTGTGGACTTGAAATGGCACAGCCCAGGCGAACGGTGTTGGCTGTTTTGTAACCAAGCATGTGCTAAGATGAATGAGTTACACTCGAAGAAAGTGAGTAGACCCCTCACACTTTTAAGATATTTCATGAGACAGCACTGAATAAATAACACTTTGCTGCAATGTAGTCAGTATATGGCTTGTATAACAGTTACTTTACTGTCCCCTCAAAACAACGAATGTCGAAACAAGCGGCAACAAAGGCGAGTATGCCCCTATGTACAAATGTTCAGGGTTTAGGTCTGGAAATATGCTCGGCCCGTCCTTCAACTTTACCTTTAGCAAGGTAATAGTTGATCTTGGAAGTGTGTTTGGCTCATTATGTTTGAATGCCGCACCACGTGTGGCCTCGCTTCCGAAGGGAGGGCAAAATGATCTGTTTCAGTATGTCACAGTAAAGCTGGCATTCATAGTTCCCTCAATGAACTTTAGATCCCCAGTGCCGACAATCATCCAGAAAATGACACTCCCGCCACCAAGCTTGACTGCAGGTATGCCAATTGTCTTTTTTTATTCCTCGCATGGTTACTTCCCTGTACTTGACACCATGCGAACCAAATAAATCTCTTGGTCTAATCGGACCACAGAGTTTTAAGCTGTACACTGACCACTTTCTAATGTCCACCGACTCCCCCACCCCCACTGCGGACGAGAAAGAGTAGCCATTCCCCTTTTAGTAAAACATACACATGCTGAGCTTAGTATGTGTGTGTTGGGAGGGCAAAATGAGGGAGGGGGAGGGTTGAGAGAGCAAACACAAGGCCGACGTGTCCAACCCAGGACACGCAGTGTTGTTTTTGTTTTGGGATGTCTACATCTGAGGGACACCGTGTCTCAAACGGATGCAAGGTGTCAGGGACTTGACAGCTCAAGCGTCAACATCTCTGTCACAAATGTATGAAAACCGTTATGGCGTTTAGGATTTAATGCCAATAAAGTGGTTACTTGTATTTGTCGACGTATCTGAGAATTATCGATTACCGGTACGACGTGGATATAGACACACAAAATTAGACAGTACTTCGTAGGCAGAAGTAGCAGATCGACACATTGCTAAAGCAACCTGCATGACACTTCTCGAACGTTAGCCGCGTCACGCCGCTTGCTAATTCTAGCTAACATGGCTGACATATTCGCCTAAGATTTGTATCAAAATAAAATATGAACAACATACAGCTCCCTGGATCTTCCTCGTCATATTTCCTGCGTGAATGGCACAGCTCGCCGCAGACTTTTCTTTGCATCAAATAACCGGTACTGGTGCTCGTGACGCCCGTCGGGGGCAGCCTGTTAACTACATTTTGCACAGCAGGGCTGCGATTGGTTAAAGGCGAACCAAGAGTGTCAAAAATCAAGACGCTTCACTATCAACTACTTCCGCTTTTGCTAGTCACATGCATCGTTAAAATACGGTAGATGCCGAGTTAAGAAGTGTACTCGCGTCCGTACTGCCGCTTTTACGATTTTTTTCTGTCGTAGTTTAACGCGATTTTAAACTTAATACGCTCTGATATCAAGCGTTGAATGCCGTGTGGCCCCCTTGTAAGCGCGATATAGACAAAAACTGCTTTCATCCAATCAAAATGAACAATGTTTCAGCTTGACCTGCAAGAATCGATGACGGCCGTTAAACGTGTGCAAAGTATAACAGTATCGAGAGCATTTATTGTCCCGCAGAGGGGAAATTCGGGTATTAAAAAAGTGTGTCGTCAACATATAATGTAAGGGAATTTAAAATAATAGACCTAGTTCAGGGTGTGCCCCGCCGCTCGCTCAGTCTACGAGGTTAACACCCGCAGCTACAATGATGATAAGCGGTACAATGGATGAATAATACAGTAATATAAAAATGATTACACAATACTCCATTCAATCAAAGTTACTTTTTAATGTAAATTGTGAAAATAAACATTAAAATGCCGTATTTGTTGCATTTACCTCGGAAATAAAAGTTACACACCGTATAACTCATATAATTGTTTCCACTTCGCTGCCATGAAATAGATCCTGTACTTCATTAGGATGACTGCAGGGTTAAGCATTTTACATATTATAACAAGTAATATAACTAAGTTCTAATCGATAACAAAGTAAAAGGATTAACATTAAATCGAGGGCTATAAATTCATGTGCAAAATCGAATGCATTTATAGTCATTTAAATAATGCAAATAAACGAATAATGGTTGAATAACACATGTTAGGGAGAGTTAAAAAAAACGGCGTTTACAGAGAAATAGATACATTTTCAACTTAATTTCCATTTCGTCATCTCTACCGGAAGTTATCATCACGACCTGCAGTGTTGCCACTTCCTGTTTACGGGCGGGAAGAGTGAACCACGGCTGCAGAAGCTAGCGGGTTTAAAGCCCACCACTACTGTTTTCATTCACGTGGAAGCTGGCGCTTGGCCGCTTTTTAATGTTTCGAGTGTTGCGACTTGGATCGGACACTCTTTAATCGAAACATTGCAAAAGACTTTCTTTCGCAGATGGAGGACCCGGCCGCTGATTCTGGCGGCGGTGGCTGTGGTGGTGCATTAACACTGGGCCCAGTGGTGCCAGTGTCGGATATCTGCTGTACGATAGGAACGCTCCCCTGTCGCCTCTTGGAGTGGAAAGTCAAGCCGGGCTCTCACGTCAACGTGGATTCCGTATTAGCGCTCTGTGTCCCCATACCCGCGGAGAAGGGGGCAGAGACGCCCAGGCCACCCGAGAGAAAGGTTAAATCGGACCGCGCGGGGGTCGTCAAGGAGCTGTGTTGTCAACCCGGACAGGTCATACCTCCTGGGTGAGTTACTCGTTTGACGCCTCTTATGGTTCATTCGAAAGCGTGGTAAATGCCGAATTGTGCCAGTGTTATGCTACCTGGCTAACTAGCTAACGCCGCTAAAGCATGGGCGCTAACGGGAAGGCTAGCTTGTTTGGTAGCCAAATCCAAACATGTAATTGAGATGATGATGATGATGATGTGACAGTCTGCTGGTTTTGAGGTAGACTACCAAAGTCAAATTGTTCGATGTTTTAGCGAAGCTCGTTGGTGATCTCACTTCAACAAATTCTTGTTGCAAGAACGAATTTACGTGATTAGTACCAGTTAGCAACTGTTAATATTTGAAGAAACGCGTTTGTGTTTAAATAAGAAACACGAAGAGACTTTTACTTTGAAAGCGGAACTTAAGCGTCGTTGAGTGGCTTTGAACTTGACTACGCAAAATGTCGCGCGCGTCCAATGTGTTTTTAGCTGGAGTCTTTGATTGATGTTTCATTCAGCAGGATCTTGTATTTAAATCGTCGAGCACTGGTGAACGCTCATCATATAATCTGTCTCATTCGTTCTTTCTGTCCTTATCTCTCTCATAACAAGAAGGAATAACTGTCAACAAAAAGAAAACTTGGGACCTACCATGCCTTAAAGCTAACTGCTGTTGTCCATGCTTTTTTACCGCCACATGAGTGAAACTTGTTATACAAACACTGTTTTTGGTTTGTTTGTTTTCCCCTCCAGGGGCGTCATTGTCAGAATAGCAGGATGCAGCCACCCGATCGTGATGAAAGGCTTGTGTGCCGAATGTGGCCAGGACCTGACTCAGTAAGGGCATGCAAAAATATGATGGTGGTCAACAGTGACATCATCATCGAGATGGTTGATAACCGAAACATGTCTGATATCAGCCACCCACTTTTATGCACCGTTCATGTTTTAAGACTTGTCATCTCGTGAAAAAATTAAAACGTGGCCATAATTGTTAATAGTGTTTGTGGTATGTTCATTTTTAGATGCCACTCTTAGGGTGGCGCCAGCAGCAGTTGAGTGTCAGTTTGGGCCGACTATTGTGATAACTCATTTGTGCTATGTCCACCCTTTGCCAGTTTCATTGAAACAAACCAATTTCTCTGAAATCAAGCCCATTTCTGATTCAACGGCATCATCTTCAAAGCTGCTTTTCTTCTGAATTAGCATATACTCAAGTACGCAGCAAAACACCCACTTGCGCGCTTTCTCTCACTCTCTCTCAGACTGCAGAGCGCAAATGGAAACCAGCAAACTCCCATCTCCACAGCAACCGTCTCCATGGTGCACAGCGTACCAGAGTTGATGGTCAGCTCAGAGGTGAGCCGTGTGACGCATAGATCTCTTTTTACTGCCTTTGAGTATATCAGTGCACCGATGTTTTCCGATATTTTGCGCACTAAAGGCCCATTTTACTGTATGTGCCTCAAAGGAAGAGTAATCTAGTCAAATTCAGTAGAACCTCTGATGTCGAAGAGAATCTTTTAAGTGATGCTGCTGGTCAACCTTTGAATTTCTACTTCACTACCACAAGTGCCAAGCTTATGGCGACTTGCCCGTCAGCCAGCAGCTGAAGCTTACGTAGCAGCATATATCATCACTCCGTGCTCCTTGTCAAACATCACCAACTGATGGGCTCAAATCCTCGATCACCAGTCAAAGAAGACCAAAATCACTGTATCTTGTGAACAAGAAGCTAGTCAGTAACGTTTTACAAGCTGTCAGCCATTTGACTTTGGAGGTCTCACTGTACAATCTCTTTACCCTCGAAAAATCTGTTCCTTCCAAACAGCAAGCGGAGCAGTTAGGTCGAGAGGACCAGCAGCGGCTCCATCGCAACAAAAAGCTGGTCCTGATGGTGGATCTGGACCAGACACTCATCCACACCACCGATCAGCACTGCCAGCAAATGTCCAATAAGGTCCGTTTTATAACATACACATCTGTTGCGACACATTATTGGGACGTGAGTTATCATCAGTCGCGCCGCAGGAAGTGATGCCATTTCGCTTCATTGATCAGAAAAATCTTTATTTACTCCTATTTACGCATCTTTGTTCTTCTGTCTATTCTAGCGACCGACGGGCAATGTATTCTGTCTGTAAATTGGTGTTGTGTCGAACAAACTGGCATACAGTCGGAAATTAGCATTAAATTTGACATAAAAAAATACAGCATAGTTAAAATTTTATATCAAGTGTATTTTAAAAGTGCAAACACTTAAAGCCTGTTTTTCTTTGTCAGGGCATTTTCCACTTCCAGTTGGGGCGAGGAGAGCCGATGCTTCACACGCGACTACGGCCGCATTGCAAGGAATTCCTGGAGAAAATTGCCAAATTATACGAATTGCATGTCTTCACGTTTGGGAGCCGCCTTTATGCACACACCATTGCGGGTAATTTGTGCTCTCATTTATCTCATTGATGGGTGATTTTGTGTGTGTGTGTGTGTGTGTGTGGGGGGGGGGGGGCCTGTATTGTACCACTTGTACTTCCAATTTGGTTCCATAAGGGGGAGCTATCTGCAAATGTATTGTGTTCAAAGTGTGATTATGTTGGCTAGTTATCGATTTATTTAACCTTGCCGTCATGAATACCATAGAGCATAAACTACATCAGGATGTGTATTTTTGATTTCTTCCCCCGAGCAATCTGTAATAAAACACTCATCCTCATACATGGAAACCAGTTTATGGGGGGGGGGATCCCATCTGTCCCCTCAGCGGAATTTTGATTCGGTCCGGGTTTAAAATGAGCCAGCGTGATATAGGCTCAATTTTATTCAGGCGGCAGTCTTCCGTCATGCCGTGCGGTATATAACCCCAGCAAGGCATTGTTTTGCAGCCATGTGATGAATGTTTAATGCATTTGGAATTGAAATTTACGACCTCCGATGAGTTGAGAAGGCCAGCCTGGGTCTCCAGCTGCCGTATATTTCCTGTGAAGAAAACAAGAGGAACGATGAAATGATTGGAATGGAATGCTTGATTTCAAAATATGCTGATATGTTATTTTGCTTTCTTTTCTTAGGCTTTCTAGACCCCGAAACAAAGCTGTTCTCCCATCGCATCCTGTCCAGAGATGAATGCATCGACCCCTTCTCCAAGACGGGGAATCTTAGGTGGGAGTTGACGCGTGCCGTGGACGCCAAATTTACAAAGCTGATCATTAGTATCGCAATTAAAAAGGGTCTTTCGTAGGAGAATAACTTCTTCATTGTTTGTGTACACATAGACGGCTCTCAAGTTTTCAGTCGTGAGTGCATGGCAGATTTTTTTTGGTATTGTGCAATGCGGTCAGTGCCTGCGAAGTAAACATCGTTAGCTAATTGAATTGTAATCCAAAAGTAGTTTAGAGAGAGAATGGAAGCAGTCCCTGGTGCTCGTTTAGTGACTTTACTAAACAGCAACCCATTCCTAGCACATCTGTCCAGTTATTTTCTTTGGAGAGGCTTACAGTAAATGTGCTTTTCACAAATCAACCATCTGCATCTCTTCTCGCTGAATACTGTGTTTATTTTTTTTTTCATGTCAACAAGCTCACTGTCCTTCACTGGCCTACCAGGTATCTTTTCCCCTGTGGGGACTCGATGGTGTGCATCATTGATGACCGTGAAGACGTGTGGAAGTTTGCGCCCAACCTCATCACTGTGAAGAAGTACGTCTACTTCGAGGGCATCGGGGACATTAGCGCGCCGCCAGGTTCGCAAGAAGCTCTGATGGCCAAGAAAGGTACAGAAGTGAGATGGGTTTTTTTTTTCCCTCTGTCTCTCTCTCAGGAAAATGTGTCCTTGTGACGCACAGTGAGTGCGATGCACATCCAATTCAATGCAGCGTTCAAGGAGATGCTTCCAGTTCCTTGCGCAGTCCACAGTCCCGAAGAGCCACTTTTAAGAGGACACGCCAGCCAGTTGTCTCATGTCAGCTCATTCTTTCAATGCAGTCCAGAGTTTGAAATGAGGACACAAAGTGCAGCCCCCTGCGATTCACTTTGACACAATTGTCTACCCAAAGAACAATTTCTTTGAGAAATGTCCTTTTCTGAAATCTGAACTGAGGATTTGTTCAGATGTTTCATAAAAGAGATCTTTTGGGGAGGGAGGATGAAAAAGGAAGTGCACAGTAGATAGCTGCAAAATACACCAACGTTACGGAACGTTTTTGAACATCTCTTTGGTCACAGTATTACACTTTTCCTTGTCATATCAAACTTTACTTCACTTTAAACTTTATTCTGGTGTCATTTTTTTGGTTTGTTTATGGCTTGAATTCTTGACCGAGAGCCTTCATTCAGTCATTGCGATTGTCTTTGACCCTCAATTGATCCCCGTCTCTTGCTCACCTTCAGGAAAGCCATCAGGCCGTGCTGCAGAGAGCCCAGAAGTGAACGAGACTCTCGGAGCGGAGGAGCAAAATAACGGCCTCAGGAAAAAGTTGGTCAAAGACGGGCCGGCGGCATCTCGCTGTTCTCAGGGCGTCCCGACAAATGAACAACGGATACATACCTCCGCGTCTGTGCCAGATGAGGCATTGACGGATAAACGTTCAGAGGCTGAGGAGGAGCCCGCAGCGACACAAACCCGAGGGCTTGAAAACAAGCAAGTTAGTAAAGATGGGAGTATTAGCAGGACAGGTGAGGCAAAGGACAGCGCAAACTCTTTGGCTCCCAACAATGAGTCCAATAATCTGGACTTTGACCTTTCCAGTGACAGCGACAGTGAGTCTGTTAGAGAAAAGGCGCCTTCGGCGGGCGCCGTCAGCGAGGCGAAGAAAGCGGAGCCCGAAGCGGCCTCGCAAGACAACGGGAAGGAGACAAAAGATGGAAACGGGAAAGTCCAAAGTTCTGAATCAATAGAAGCTTCGGACGTTCTCCTCCCCGAGCTGGGAAACGGCTGCTCGGACAGGAGGGAACCTGAAACCGAGTCGCAGAATAGCGAGCAATCCGGGGTGACCGTGGGGGAGGAGCTCCTGGACCAGAGCATGGAGGACGAGGAGGAAGAGGAGGACGTGGATAACGACGGCGACGATCACCTCATTTACCTGGAGGAAGTGCTGGAACGGATCCACGGCGAGTACTACGCCCGTTACGAGGCTTTCCTCAAAAGCCAGGCGCCCGACGCGCCGGACATTCGCAAGATCGTCCCCGAGCTTAAGAGCAAGACCTTAGACGGCGCCACCATAGTCTTCAGCGGCTTGTACCCGACCAACTACCCAATAGAGAGGACTCGCGAGTACTATCACGCCAAGGCGCTGGGGGCAAAGATCGCCAAGAACTTGGTTCTGGATTCGCAAGAACCCACTGGGACCACGCACCTCATTGCGGCGAAATCGGGTGCGTAAAATGACTTTTAGCCGTTCTTCTGTCGGTTTTATCCCGAATGGCCGTGTCGCGAGCCTCCGCGATTTGCGGCGATAGGAATTGAGCCCCGACGCCAAAAGCCCAAATCCACAAAAATAGGGGAGCTTACGAGGTTCTGAACTAGCTTGCGCATCGGCGTGAAACTACGTTTCGCCATGTATTGAAGGGTGAGTACAACCAGACTGAGACTGAATTCAACTGGGTCTTGTCGTCATCTCATTTTGTCCTTTTTTTCTGGTTAGTCCGTTGAGACATGCCCATTAGCTGCGTGAAGGAACTATTCTGAAGCGGCGGAAGCTTTTCTTTGCTTCATGAGGCCGGGATCCAAGGAGGGTCATCCGAGGCTTGTTTCAATGTCGAGCTTACTCGCGTATTGGCGGCAGTGTGTATATCCAAGCTTTGTCAAAATTGTTCTTGAGAGAAAATGCAGGATCTAGTTAGTTGGCGCTTTCAATAAAGAGAATGCAAATAGTGCGGCGCGTACTCTGCACGCGTGAGCAAAATGCTCGCAAATCTCGGGGAAAGATTGCTCCTTCAAAATGAGACGCGTGCGCCGCCAATTCGATTTCCCCTCCGAAAACAAGCGAGCGCGAGTCGTGGGGCCGTTGCCTTGGAAGCCAGCCGCCGCGCCGCGCCGTGAGACGCACTTGGCAATCACTCGCGTTCTACAGCGGCGCGAGAAGAATTCATTTGTGGGGGTGGGACGTCAGTACGGAGGAGGTCGGGACTTTGCAACGTTTGCTTCATTTGGATTGAACCCCGTAAAACTCTTTTGTCTGACAATCACACCGCAGCGATGAGTCTATTTCAACAAAATCTGCATTCTCTGCCAATGAAGCTCGTTCCACGTAGCCCATTTTATTTTTTTCCTCTTTTTGAGCGCATCCTCTGGATGTTTTGGAGGAGCGTTTCCTTTCTCCGTTAAACAAGCCAGTTCGAAATCCTCCCTGTAGCCCGCACTGAAGAAAAGCCATCCGTTGCCGTCACGGGAACAGATATTTAGGAGGGCCGACTCGACGAGCATGAGCTCACCCGACCTTTTGTGCCCCTTTTCATCCGCTAGGCACGGAAAAGGTCCGTCAGGCGTTGGGCTGCAAGCACCTCCACGTGGTCAACCCCGACTGGCTGTGGAGTTGTCTGGAGCGCTGGGAGAGGGTGGAGGAGCACCTCTTCCCGCTAAAGGAGGACTACGCCAAGCAGCCGTGGTAAATTTGGTGACTTGTAAACAATCGCAATGACAAGGCTGCAGAGGGTCATAACTATCCGTTGTTCGGTTCACCGCACGTGCGCTTTCCATCTAGTCCACTCATCCCCAAAAATACAATCGACTTGGGTTTTTTGAAAAATATTGTATAGGTTTGACATTTGCAATCGTCTTCCCTGACGGTTTTCTGAGCCGATTGACAAGAAAATCTGCCGTCAACACAACGCGCACAACAACAAGTAGAATCATTCAAAATCATCGTTTTGGGAGAGTTTGCTACTGACTCTGTTCAGAAAAATTCAGATGGACTGATTATTTGTCCAGTATGGGTGACCACTTTCAAATCGTTGTTGGCTGATCAGTCATTCGGATTTCTTTTTTTCCCCCCTCCTGTTTGAAGGAGCAACAGCCCAGCGGCTTTCCTTGACAAGCAGAGCTCCCGCCACAAGCCCCTTTTCCAACACCCGCCCTCAATCCAGCACAGACCACCCCCGGCGCCCCCCGAGGTTCGAACCTACGACCCTGTCACCGGGAAGCTGATTCGCAAGGCCCCTCCGGTGTCGCTCGCGGCGCCTTGCCTCCAGGCGTCCGATCGACAAGAGCAGGAGGCGCTTCTCAGGTACCGTCGAGACGATTTCACGATGATGTTTTGAGTAGAAGGTGGTCTTTGGCTTTCTTTTCCCGCTCTCATTTGTATGCACGCAAAAATAATCAAGTAGCTGGAGGAAACGCTGGCTCGAGTGTTGTTCAAAACGGCGATTGCGCTACTTGTTATTGCCTTTGTCGTATTGCCAGAAGACTCATTCGTCACACATCAGTGAATACAGTGCCGTACGTCCACCGGGTCGCATTTCCTTTCAGCCCGTTCTTCTTCGGTTGCTTTACTGTGCAGATACTGTACTTCCTCAATGACTCCCAAAGGGGACATAGCTTTCTTTAGCTACTCGGTAAAACAGTAAAAAGTCCCATTTTCGTGATGAGTTGTTGCTTTTCCACGCTGTAAATGACGCCGCGGTTCGAGTACATCAGCATTACACCCCGCTGGTTGTGCGAGGGTTGCGTGGCTGTTTCATAATGAGCGGAAAAAAATGCATTGAAGTAAGTCAAGGATTACGGACTCATCAGATTTGCATCCACTTTGATTTTCATCATCAAAGAACATTTAATGAAGCGGAGACTTCCGCTTTCCGCTCGGATGAGATTTGCCCAACGTATCATCTTGGCCTTCACCGTCACTTTCGGTCTCTCAAGTCAAACTTAGCCAAATAAATCCTGGATGAAGGTCTTTCTTTTAGTGAAGTGAGGTTGTTGTCGTTCAGGGGAGCGCCAAACAGCCAACAAGATGCGTCAGCGGGACCCAGCCGGGATGACGAGTCGCTAGGGCGGTCGCGTCGGAAGCGCCAGCCGAGCATGTCGGAAACGATGCCGTTGTACACTCTTTGCAAGGAGGACCTGGAGAGCATGGATAAAGAGGTAAAGACGCATCCGGTCCTGCGCTCGATGCCGTACTGATTTGCTTTGGAGAAGAAAAGCCCGCTCCAACGTGTGAAATGAGTTTGCGGCTGGTCGGGGCCACTTGAAATGGGGGCGCGTGCGTGTGCTGACCCACGCGCTTGAGTGCGATGGGTTCATTCTGAGCGAAGAGGGTGTGCACACTTGTGCAACGGATTTATTTTCACACCCCCTCTTGAAACGTTACCAAAAGAAAGAAAGAAATCATTTATCGGCCACATTAGAGTGGAACAAAGTTAGTTTTATCTTGGTTTTGTTTTTCAAATCAACAAAAGCTGCCATTTGAACAAGGGTGTGGAGACGTGTCCGCTGTCTATTTATCCTTGCGCTCGGTCGGAGGTTGCGCTTTCTGTCTCGGAATGAGAGCTGCTTTCATGAAACGTGTGCCCCGAGGACTTGGATGTCATTGTAATTGGTCACGCTTTGACGGAATACCAAACAGCCAGCGCAGTTAATAACTCATTTCAAGTTAACTCTGTAATTGAGTTTGGAAACTGCTGTGCCATCCCTTTGCCTTTTAGGTTTTTTTTTCCCCCTCCTCTTCTTTTCCCCGTCACAGGTAAGTATTGAAAGATGCAGACGAATTTGCGGATGAAACAAACTTTGAATGAGAATTCAAAAAAAAAAAACGCTCTTCTTCTATGTTGTTCTCCCGGCAAACGTGTCCCTATCTATCTCTCACTTTTGCAGATTTAATACTGTGAAATATCATGACTATTGCCAATTTAAATCATTGTGAATACTGACTTTCCCGGAGGCAATAAGATTGAAAGAAACGTGTCCCAATCACGCCCATGCTTGTAATTATCGCTCGAAGGCTACCGTCAAATGTGTTTGTTCTTTTTCATCCCTTATTATTAATCTGGAAATGTTTGTTTGTTGCATCTGATATTAAGATGAATGCCAGTGAGACGCAAAATGAGTTTGTGTTGCTGCGTTTCCCCCCCGGCACGAAAGCGCTAACCATAATGGCCTCGGAGTATGTTGCCATGGCAAGTCTCGCCCCGGCTGTGAAAATGATGTCACTAATGTTGTTCCATTATGTCCTTCCACCGAGAGATCTGATGGCTAATCTGTCCGATCATTGTCGCTCCGCGTACGTGGAAATTGCGAGCTCCAGATCTTTGCCGCCGCAGCTGGAGGCGCGTGCGCTTTCCGTTTGATTTATCGTTGAGGCCCAAAGCCCCGTCCTTTGTCTCTTGCGCGCTCGCTATTTTGCTTTTTTTTTTTTTTTTTTTCTTTTTAGTACCCCAGCCGTTCTTAATGAACGAGCACCATTGTGTACGTTGCCACGGTGCGATGGACATAATGAATTTGCGCCGTAATTAAATACCAGCCTCATTTCAACGCAGCACTCTTCAAGGATCGAGCGGACTAATGAGGCGTTCACTGTTCACGCGGCGCATTGGTACCCGATCGCTACATTGCACCCGTGTAAATGGGACTTGACACGACCATAAAGTCGGATGTGGTCGGCGTGGCGTGGATGTCTTCGTGCTAATGTCATTCGCCTCTTCTGCGGTTCTTTCATGACGCCATCAAGTCGAGCATCTCCGAGAGGTCGCGCTTCTCAAGCTTATCACTCAAAGTAATGAAATACAAACGTACCTGCCCCGGATTAGTCGACGCGCAAAGAAATAGTGAAAAGAATCCCTCCCTCCGTCGGTTTGCCCGTGGCGCTCGTCCGCCGCGGGGTCGCGAGTGAGCCGCTCGCTTCTTGCGAGGCTCGTCATCGTTCAACGTTTGCTCTGAACATTTTAGGGAATGACGCCGATGAAAAGGTCCTTTGACTGCATCGGTGGCGTTTCAAATGTCACCTGAGCAGAAAGGTCAATCTGTGACATTCCTAAATGTTGTCCGACTTGAGGGCGCAAGGGAAAAGAATCGAGTAACTCTACGTACAAATCAGGGAGTCTGTCGCCGGCGGTGAGGCGTCATCGACGCAAATGTGACGCGCACTTTATGTCACCAAAGGAATCGCTGCAATGTGTGCGTGTGCGTGTGTTATGATATGGAATGTGCCTTTCCTTCGTACTGTGCTCTTCCCTTACAGTGTATATAGGCACCTGTTACTTTTGCTAGATCAATAATTGAAGGGATTTGGAAAAAAAAAATCGAGCGGACTAATGAGGCGTTCACTGTTCACGCGGCGCATTGGTACCCGATCGCTACATTGCACCCGTGTAAATGGGACTTGACACGACCATAAAGTCGGATGTGGTCGGCGTGGCGTGGATGTCTTCGTGCTAATGTCATTCGCCTCTTCTGCGGTTCTTTCATGACGCCATCAAGTCGAGCATCTCCGAGAGGTCGCGCTTCTCAAGCTTATCACTCAAAGTAATGAAATACAAACGTACCTGCCCCGGATTAGTCGACGCGCAAAGAAATAGTGAAAAGAATCCCTCCCTCCGTCGGTTTGCCCGTGGCGCTCGTCCGCCGCGGGGTCGCGAGTGAGCCGCTCGCTTCTTGCGAGGCTCGTCATCGTTCAACGTTTGCTCTGAACATTTTAGGGAATGACGCCGATGAAAAGGTCCTTTGACTGCATCGGTGGCGTTTCAAATGTCACCTGAGCAGAAAGGTCAATCTGTGACATTCCTAAATGTTGTCCGACTTGAGGGCGCAAGGGAAAAGAATCGAGTAACTCTACGTACAAATCAGGGAGTCTGTCGCCGGCGGTGAGGCGTCATCGACGCAAATGTGACGCGCACTTTATGTCACCAAAGGAATCGCTGCAATGTGTGCGTGTGTTATGATATGGAATGTGCCTTTCCTTCGTACTGTCGCTCTTCCCTTACAGTGTATATAGGCACCTGTTACTTTTGCTAGATCAATAATTGAAGTGATTTGGAAAAAAAAACCTGTTGCCAAAGCTGAATGGAACATTTCCATGATCCGTTTGTTTAAACGCTGTGGTGTTAATCATAAACACAGTACATCATCTCCCAAAATGCGTTCGCTTGTAATTGCTCACGCTGGACTGTGGCAACTTGAACTTGGTTCCTCCCAGAAATAACGGACTCGAGGAATTCCTTCTTAGCATTGTTTTTAAAGATGGCCCATCAGGATGTTTGGTTTTTCGTTCTGGATTTTTGTCCGGCTTTTGGGCCGCATTTCCTACCACAAAGTAGAGAGCGGCGCTTTGCAGTATTTTCTGAAGGTATCGCTAATATGGAACTTGAATCAATGAATGAATGAGTGAGTGGTAGGTGGGCACAAAAGGTCTTTGCGTGACACCACCCGACGCCCTCGGAGACACGACTCATCGAGGCCGCTATCATCGGAGAAGTCTGCCTCGAGGTCACGCCAATCCCAGCCTTTTGAGAGATCCGTCTCATTCATCCGTGCTGAGCTTTAATCCTTGCTGGATGTCAAGGGAGGACGTCGGAAGTAAGCCCAAAACTAAGGATGCCCGATGACCCTCAAATTCTCGTCAATGTTCTACGTTGGTATTTTATTTCATCGTCATCCGGCGAGGAAAAAGGCTCCCTTATTGTACAGTCTTGAGCTTGTTTTGCAGCTTTGCCCATTCATTCCCTTGAACGCTTGCTTTGGGCTGTCGTGGGATGCATTTCGCCGCCAGTGACTGAGTAAATCCAATCAGGGGTGGTTAGTACGACCCCACGGTTTCATCATAAATGGTCACCCTTGATATGTTGTCAGGATATCTCGAGACCTAACTATTTGTGTACCCACAATAAAAAGTCCATTTTTTTCCCCCCGCTATAATATCGCCTTTCGAATCGATTCCCAACAATACAATAAAACGCTGACTGTAGGAAAGTGGCCTCAAGAAATCTCCCAACTCGATGAAACACGTTGCTGCTACGAGATTCATTTTAGGCGCTCCCCTTTCAATTTTCTTTGGAGAGGGCGAGAGAGAGAATGTTTCACCTTGCAAACAAAATAAATCTACTGGCTTGGAATTACACTTTGACTGCAGTGCATTTGCAGTCGGAGACCACCAGCCTCTAAATTAGTTTGGGGGGGGGGCGTGCTTTGAAAAGCCTCCTGTGCACTTTGCGTCGTGGCCTTTGATTACAGCCAGGAAATGGATGCTGCGCCGTATCTCGCGATTGTTACCCCTTCCATTTTCAGCAAAGGTCAAATGAGCCACGGCGCTTTTCAAAATGGTGGCGATCCACAGCACATGACTGCATCCCGCATCCACCGCTCCGGTTTGGTGGCGCGCCGCGCGGTCGGAGAGCCGAACGGTTGGAAGTCGCAGCCCGGGAGGGTGGCGCGCTTGCTTCGGAGATGGCAACGGGCTTGGATGGCACGGTGCTCCTCGCCTTTTAACATTCACACTCGACAACCTGGAATCTTAAACGGCAAAATGCCCGCCATCATGACACGGCCACTTTTGTTCCTTTTTTTTTCCTTTCATTCTTCAAAAAGAGCGCTCAAGTCCAATGAAACGTGCCTTCAAATGTTGCGTTTCCGTGCATCACATTCAAGTCTCAGAACGGCGACGACTGCCATTTGTCTGAACGAAGAAGCGCGTTGCTTTTTCATTCAAAGCCATTTGGAAGGATGTCTTTACTGACTTCCTCTCGGGAATTGTAAATGGCTTTCCCTCCGTTCAAAAAGGACAATATTACTTTTTCACGTGAAATGCGACGGAACCTAATCCCGGGTCGTGCGGCACTCGATTCCAGTCCGCCCTCATTTCCCGTTCGGAGTCACAGCGCGTGACTGGTCGCGGTCTATCGCAGGTCGATTGTCGACGCGGCGCCGAGTGGGAATTGATTGCGCGCCAGCCAGCTCCGTGATTGCCCTTGTAACACTCGACTGTTTGACTTACCGTAAGTGCTGAGGGCGCGAGGTCTGTTGTTGGAAGCCTCGAATAGATGGCGTTCCCGCCGCAAACAACAACAGCGCCAGCAGCGACAAGACTGCTGCTGACCAATTGGTGGTCCACGTGCGCAAAGTGTCATGACAGAGACCATCGTGTCACGCCGTTTGCACTCTTCTTGTCTCGCTCAATAGGTGGATGACATTTTGGGCGAGGAGAGCGACAACGAGAGCGAAGGGCGCGGGAAAGACAAAGCCGCTAATGAGGACGAGGAGGAACGGCGACGGCGAGAAGCGCGGCCGCGGGAGCGAGCGCCCGGACCACCGACGGGGGGAGGGCCGCTTCGAGCGGAGGACCCGCTCCCGACGACATGCGCCGATGCCACTCTGCCGGCTACCGTGTCCAGGTGAGACGAACAAGCGCGGCCGAGCATTCAAAACGGACGCCGCTGTGGAGCAAAACATTATTTGCGGAGAATGAGGGGGACTATCCCCCCCCCCGCTGGTAAATGTAGTCGCTAATCCTTGAACACGATATCCTGGGGCACTTGAAAATGTCAAAAGGCTTTGAAATGGCTGGAAGATAATGAGTTCGAATCAGCGAGGCCAGCCAGGTTCGGCTCGGAAAAGCTTTTGAGTGACATTAAGTACTTGATGTCAGAATGTTGAGTGCGTTATGTCGTCACGCCGCGGCGAAAAGATCACAGCCCTTGCAAATCATCCAGTCGGCTCGCTCCAATGCTTCCTGCCCGCAACGGAGAAGCGCTTTGCTGTGAGAAGATGTGACGGAAAACAAAACAAAAAAAACAAAAACCATCCCCGCCACTTAATCAGTCAGCCTGAGCTGGAACAAGACTGAGTGGTCCGCTGCCATGGCGACGCGTCCAAACAGACATGACCCATTTCTGAGTAAACGAGAGGCATTTACCGCTGAAGGACGTTGCCATTGGTTTTCACTCTGCGGGTACCCCACATCATCGTTTCCTTTGCGTCTAGAGTACAGTAGGTCATTTCATTCTCGGCGGGTGTTCACGCAGGAGGAACTGCGCGACGTTCACTTTGCTTGAACCCAATGAAAATACAAAAGGGGGCAAGAAATTGTCAAATGTCCATCTCCTCCTCTTGAGTCCGGTGCTTATTGCCTTTGGCTCCCGGTGGCGTTGCGGGATGCGAACGGCCGTTCCCGCTGCCGACCGAGCCGGCAGGCTTCCGGATTTCCCTTTTT